CCCCGCCGCCGCCGCGCCGCACGCGTGAGAGGCGCCGTCGCAGCCGCACGTTCTCGGACAGTCGCTCGTCCGACACGCGCGCGACGACCCGCAGCTCGGACAGCGCGGACCGCACCCGCTCGTCGCCGGGGCGCCGCGGGCTGCCCGCACGGCTGCCCGCTCGGCTTCCGCCCGCGGCCAAGTACGCGCCGCCGGGGGCGGCGCCCGCGACAGGAGAGCCCAGAGAGCCCAGGGACCCCAGGGATGAGGTGGGGTCGAATTGGGCGACGCGTTGCTGCATCGACGCGCTGGGGCCGGGCAACTGGGGATCTGAGTGCCGCTGCTGCAGAGCCGCCCCCACCGGCGCCGCCGGCGCCGCGGCGCCGCCCCCCGCGTCCGACTCCCGCTCCCGCGGCGTCGCGCCGCCGCTGCTCGCGCCGCCGCCGGCGGTCGAGCCGCTGCGGCGCGGGCCCGTCGACAGGCGGGGGAGGTGCGAGCCGTCGTGCGGGGCCGCGGTGAACGGCGCGGGGGACAGCACCGGCACCGCGGGCGCCGCCACAGGGATCGCCGCATTGAACCCGGGACGATGGTAGGTATCGCTCGCGCGCAGGCTCGTGCCCTGCTGCGTCTGCGCCGCCGCGGACGAAGGAGACGGCGCCGACGCGGTGCTGAGGCTGCGGGAGGGCCCGCCCAGCGCCAAGTGTAAGCTGTCGCCGCTGCCGCGGCGCGGCGGCGGCGTCGACGCGGGCGGGTCGACCCCGTGCCTCGGCCTGCGGGGTTCGGGGTGCCGCGCGGCCGCCTGTTGACGCCGCTCGTGCGCCCCAAACGCCGCTCGTGCCGGCCGCGAGCCGCAATGGCTTGCAAGTAAATCGTGGGTCGCGTGCCAAGAAGAGCACAGGGGTGTGAACGCATTATGAGGGCCCGCACGCATGCCCACATCTGGGAAGCACCCACCTGACCCTCCGCCCCGGATCCGTCAGTCCGACCCCGCCCCCAAGCCGCCGCGGCTGCGGCGGCGGCACCAGCGGCGAGCTGTCTGCCGAAGACGCGTGCTGCAGCACACCGCCGCCGCCGCCCCCCGGTGGCGAAATTACCCCGCCGTCCCCCAGCGCGCCGCCGCCGCTGCTCGCGTCGCCGCCGCCGCCAGCGCCGACGCCGCCGGCGGAGGCCTGCCCCAGGGCGCGCCTGCGGGCGACGCGACGGGCCCCAACCTCGTTCATTCGATCCCCCGTAATCGGCTCGTGCCGAGACATGGCGCATGGTCCCAAACGATCACAATGCCATATGAGCT